CATAGGGTGTGGAAAATAGGGCTTCCCGTCCGCTCAGCCGTACTCAAGCCACACGCCGGTGAGTTAGTAGTTGGGTGGGTGACCACCAGCGAATCCTCACTGTTGTATGTTTTTTTTTTTTCGCTTTTGATATGTCTACTATACTCTCAGTAGAAGAAAATTGGCCACAGATAAAGACGTAGACATCATGGTTTATACGGCAATATATTGAATGTTGACAAAGGTTAGTGCTAGGCCAAATATAAAATCTGCATAGGAATCTCCATGGATGCTCGGGCGTGATAATGGAAGGGAAGCAAAAGCCATGACCTGAACGAAGCTGGTGAGAGAGACAGATAGTGGCAAGATTGCCAAGGAGGGAGCGTGTTTTATTGGGCCGAGATAGGCCTTGAACTGGACGCATACATCAAAAGAAACAGGCTTCGAACCTAAGGAGAAAACACCCGTGTGAGTGTCCCAATTCCCAAGTTGACTTAAAATTTCTTTGCTATACAACACCCAGAGCTTGACAGTCTTCCCCGATTCGCCCTCGCTTCCTAGATAACTAAGATCTGAACCCAACCGATCTGGACCCAACCGATCATGTATTCAGACTGTGCCGATATGCTTGTATCTTGCCGATAGACCTGGGCCGAGTTCCACATTCACAGCTCTATCTGAACCAATGCTGAGTCTTGGAAGTACGTCTGCAGTAGCGTGAACCATACACCATTCTGCAGTCCTTCGAATATTCAATGCACGACCGGTTCTCGTCACAATCTTACATGCATGACTCACCGCTATCCAATCACAAGTTCATCGCATTCCTCACCGCCGCTTTTCGAAGTATATGGGGCTGAAATGTGGCTTGCCACATCGCTCTAGCCTCTCGGCCTAAAATCGGCTTAGCCCTATCACGCTACACTGCACGTGCTTCCACCTATCACATTGTGGCGCCTGCAGGCTGACAAAGTGGAGACAAACTCAATCGTATACCTTAACGCCATCTTATTGAGCCCAGAAATTAACTACTAGTCTAATAAATCACCTATTCTACCTTTGCCTGATATCTTTTGGACGATGCGCACCATTTCAGATGGGTTTCTGCAAAGGCCAGGACTGCAGTCTCCAGAATCGGGTCATGGATATCCCCATTCAATGAAACGTGGAGTCCTTCGTATATCTCCACCGCAGCTGAAAGACAACGATTGTGGATACCGCACACCTCATCGATCGTTCTCGGCAATATGTCATTCATGTGATCCACATCCGTCCCCGCTTGTTCCTTCAAGGATACCAAGACTGCATTCATAGGCTCGCCATTCCGACGATCTTTCTCCAGGCCAACAAGGTCGTTTTGCAGCCCGAGCACCAAACTAACCCGCTGTTGGAGATCTCGGAGTCTGGAGAGATAGTCGCCCTCGATTGGTTTGTGCAGTGTGCGAATCAGAGTTAAGAATGGATGGATACCCATTGTTTTACCGCGGAATTGTAGGTAAGTTTCCAAGTTCCCAGGCAGAATGCCCTGTCGAAATCGGAGCTCGTCAAGCAAGCCCTCGCACATATCGCATATATCATTGCTCAGCTCGCGGGAGGTGCTTTCGCTGAGGTCAAGTTTCTGGACGCAATATTCTTGAAAGAAGCAAAGAATCGATGCGACTTTGTTTGTCGGGGAGACTATTATATGGATTAGCCCGGTACTGTAGAGTTCTCCGCAGCTGATCCTGATTTACATACCGTCTGCCTTCTTTCCTTGGAGCTTCGATATGGTCTCTTCCAAAGCAAGCGTGGCCGCAGCAGGTGGCATAGCCTCAAGTGTGTCATCTGCCGCGCAGTTCGCAGCCAGCCACGCAGTCATGCATATGCGGATGTTCTCCGATCGTACATCCGGGAAAAACAGGTTAATGGCAGCTGCTTCAGCAAAGCATCTCTCATAGAAGTCTTTGGTATCTCCGGCTTTCTCCGGCTGGATGGTCGCTTTGAAATCAGCGTGTGAATAGAGGACAGCCGATGTGGGAGGTGCATCGATAGGGACTATGTCGTAATGAGGGATCTTGAGCTAAATTCAACTAATTCAGTCGGTGATTCACGAAAAGGGTAATGTTAAGCTAACCTTGAGGGATACGCCGTGTATTCCTAGAGGGATTTCGCATGACTTGATCACAGGTTGGTCGTTGAGACGCTTATAATTGGGTATATGGCCGGCTGGATTGATTGGAAGGTCAATCCGACCAGTAGGAATCCGAGCAGAAGGAACAATCCCATGCTGCTGTGTGAAGGTATAATCGCATGTAGCCATTTTGAATTTCGAAGTTATTTGAATAGTATGTAACACCGGATATTGACGCAGTTTATATATCCCACCCGGTCAAGCACGGACAACAGGAAAACACGGAGCGTGGCTGAAACTTGCTAGCAGCCAAGATGTTTTCTTTGTCTAGGTATGACGTTGATCTAGTTTCGAGCATGCAGCTGAAAATTCCCTCATTGATTCTCGCAGTCTGATAGGTCACATTATGGGCTAGTTCGCATGCGCAGAACCAACGGCTTCTCGGGAGAAGCCAAGCAATAGACGATGATGAATCCTGGCCGAGAAAACTCAGCTCCCATCGGTCGAAGCCAACTCCGCTTGGTCGAAACCCCCCACCAGATGGATCATCACGGTGTGGGGCGCTTTGTATTCGTTCATGTACACACATCCGTACATGGAAAGGTGGATCGCGGGCTTAGTCGGATGATTTTTCCCGCCCCGTGCAGATCAGTCCATAGGAAGCAGGAGATAAATTAGATCCCCATGCTAGTATCCAGTGGTAGGTCTTCCACCAGTCCAGGGATTGCCGCAAGGATCCGCAAGGATCGCTGAGACAACGCAATAATAAGGGCTAGCCGGGTCATCACTATAAATACAGTCTTGAAGTTGGGCAAGAATCGAAGGATGTGGGTTCCCACTCCTCCGCGGAAGGACGTGCGCTTCAAACCGGCTAGTGATAAAAAAACAAGCTGCTCATTACTCGTGCAAATAGATAGCTGTGGCCTATAGCCAATAAAAAGCACAAATATTATGCAATATACGACGACGTAGGTGGGAGGATATGAAACACGTGATAATTGTGAGAGAATACGGAGTACAGCCAGCCATTTCTCTAATTGCGGGAAACCATCCAGCCAGCCATTTCTCCGCTGAACCATAACAAAACATTCAGCTGAATATTCAAGGAGATGGGTCCAATGATCATGGAGCACAATAATTGTATACACCGCTTCTCTTTTACTTCAATGTTCGTACGGGAATTATATATCTCTAAAGTCAGTGATACTGACACTTGAGTGTTTGTAGCTATTCTTTTCAGAAAAAAAAAGGATATTTTCAAAACTAGATACAATGTCTAACCTATTTCCAAGTCTAATCTTCTTATGAAAACCTGCTTCCCATAAGTCGTATAACTAGTCAGGGTGTAGGGACATGGTCAAGTTTAATGTGAGCTAAGCTGAATCTTCAGGCCTCTTTCTTTCAATTTTAACCTTATCACATCCCGATACTAGAGCGAACTCTAATTAATTTGTTGACCGAGTATAGTTGGTGATTGGCCTGCGTGTCTGCCTTGACCCTCATGTCTTGATTCCTTTTTAGTACCGCGCCCCTTCTACGGCAATCCAATCGTCTTAGTTCACGGATTAACTTAAACTTTTGATTATGACAGTGTTAATGAGGCAAATCCTACTCATTCTCTGCTCAGATCCCCTCCAACCGCTTGTCTCCACCTTGACAGATGGAGTAGCGCCCGGATCGACATAGTTCCTCTAAGCGAACCGAAGTGGATCGGAAGAAAACCTTGGTTGTTTGCCTTCATAGATGGTTTGCTTACTAGGTAGCTAAATGAGAGGTTTGGGGCTTGCAAGCTTTGCCGGTTATATAAGCAAGACACTGCTTACTTCTTCACTTGCTTCTTCTTCTCTCTTGCTATCTTGGTTATTTTGAGTATATACACTCTTCCTTCATTGGATAGACCTGGCTATCACAGACGCGGACTTCCTGGCTAAGGCGGATAGGGCTCTTCCTGTCTCCATTCTTCTCTAGAAAACCACCGCCATATCTTCAAAGGTACATCAAGTGAGAAATCACACTCGGCATGGGCTATCTCAACATCCTGTGAATTTCTGAGCATGGGGTGAGAATCTTCGCTATCATCCCATTCTTCCCCATGTACCTTCCATCACCTCAAATATTGTGAGCTACAGTCCGAAGGGATTCGCGTGATACTAACATTTTAATCTCACTAGACTATCACGTCCATTGACCAACAGAACCGATTTGGAAAAGGAACGCCTCGCATAATCCCTCTAGCAGCCCGAGAAATGCTGCTCGAACCTTGCCACCTCTCCAAGTAGGGTGAACCCACGAAATTGGCAGTACAATCCAGATGGTGGCATTTAATGGCAGATTAATGCCATGGCCCGACTTTGGAAGTGATGTGGTTGCCGCATCCTGCTTTCTAACCCCCCTTGGAGCCGGCTAACCCTTGATGTGAGCTTTAGGGGCCAGGATGTAGATAACTTGAGGTATGTATTATATGTACCATGCTTGCAATTTATTAATGTACTAATATTGCTACTATACAATAGGTCAAGTTCATCGTCACATACGAGATCTAAATATTAGAACTGCTTTTTACAAGCTGGGGCTACCACCGTCGATTAACGTCCACCCGGTATTCAATCCAACCAAGTTACGGGATGCAGCAAGCACGGAGCCACTCGCGGGACAGCATACAGAACCGCCGATAAGAGTCGTGTTTACTGCAAGAAGAATTAATGGACCAATTGACCAGGTAGCGCCGGGATCTTAGCGGGTCGAAGTGGATCGGAAGAAAACCTTCATCTTTCTTTGGGGTCTTAGCTTAATCCAGATTAATTGATAGGGCCAAGAAGGGAATCAGACATTAAAAAGACATCCAAAGTGACAGATACAGCTGGGCATGCATGTTTCACGGTTAATCTGGTAACCCACGGATCGAGAGATTGACTGGTAATAGGGGAGATTGCGAGATAAATGGTCTTTGGCTCGCATTACATAAGAATTATCGATACAAGAAGTCTCTAACATAGGCCCTGCCACGCGAATACCTTAAGTACATGTGTCTAAAGTGCATATAGCTACACCTGATGACCTGCCTAGACTAGGAGGCTCTAAGGTACTGATCGAGTGCGGGGCAGCCTTTCTGCCTGCCGTCCACCGGGTTTGCTCTCCTGCTCTTCCTCTCTGTTCGTATCTCATTAAATCGGTTTCTTTTCTCATACAACCTTTGTCCAGCAGTTACTCTGGACATAAAAGGGACAAGAAATCTGACCACTATAACATTAGAGAAAACTTTCGACATGCCCATCCTTCTGCAGATACAGCTAGAGTATGTCGCCTCAACTGTTGCGCAACGGCTAGACTCGCTAGAGATTGACTATGCTATCATGGGTGGTGCTGGCGTGTGCCTCATGGCACCTGATCCGCAGAGAGCCACGGAGGATATCGATATGGTGATTCAGGTCGACCACCGATCCATCACCGCAGACCTCCTTACCGACATACTCTTGAAATCTTTCCCCTCTGACTTTGGCCCGATCAATCAGTTCGGGCATACCATCCCGGGATACAAACTCCAATTGCCTGGAGACGCGGTACGTCTTATAGAGCTCGAGATATTTGATTATGCTAGCTGGCCCAACAGACCTCAGTACGACCTTCAGTCCGCGACCCGAGTGACACAGGAAATCAACGGATACCCGGTTAAGATTTTCAGCGCTGAATGGATCATCCGGGAGAAGATTCTCTCACAATACCAACGCCGAGGTGCTAAACAGGCAGTTGATCAACAAGATGTGGAGAACCTCCTGAGCTACGCCATCCCTGGGAAACCTGAGCTCGACTTCGACCGTGATCAGGAACTTCAAGATGCGTTGGCAACCTTTTTGCAGAGAAAGCCCAAACTGCGAAGTGACCTGGAAGAGGTTATCAAATGCCAGGCTATCTTTGGAAATTGGTGCGATTCTAGCATTTTGTTCTCCTCGGACAAGTGACTAATAGAACACAATTCCTTTGTCTAGATGATGCTTCGTCTCCGTTGTTTTCGCCCGCTATAATCCTGACGGCACACTCCAGCGATATTGCTAGCCATAGGATTTTGAGGCTGCACTTGGGGGTTTCTTTTGCGGCGAATATCAGTGCTACCTGAATATCCGCCCTCCATGTAGTTTCATTAGCCTGTATGCATCATGGGAGTAATTTAGTAGATCGACAAAATAAGGTCATTGGTCAATTTTTTGAAAGCTTTCAAAAGTATATCGATATAAATGAATTATTTTTACCCACCGCGTATTATAGATAAGGAGTCTAATCGTGTATATCTCATTCAGCCAGCAGGTTGCCCCTCATATCCACGGGAATTTCTCTCCCAGAGCCCAGTCGCTTTGAGACACGTCTGTCCCAGGGGCCGAACTTTTCCTCGTGTATTCGACCATAGCGCCCACTGAACCATTCCACGGCTCGCTTATCGGGGCAGCTATCAAGAATATCATTATTTATCTCAAGGTATGACACCATCATCGCAATCCAAGTACTCAATGTATCTCCCCAGATCGAAGTAGGAGCATTTTGGTCATTCTCATCAATGAGAACACCTTTAGCCATACTCTCAATCAACGCCTCTTCAAGCGGGTGAAATATATTGCCATAGACTTCGTATTTTTTTGTAGGGAGGTCGCTAGCCGCATCCTGTATGGGAAGATTTGCAAAAGAATTCGGGACCACAATCAACTTGAGACCCACGGCTAGGTGGTGGTTGGCTGGATAGTCGAAGATAGTGGTTGATTTATCCAGACGTTCGTATTTTTTATTAACCTTTCTCATGACCTTATCTGGATTCGGGAGTCGAGCCAGTAGCTCGGGGGCAGGTCTGCGGTCAGGGACTGTTTTATGGAATTCGGACTCTTGTAGCTTCTGGCATGCTGTCTGATAGTCCTTATCGTGTACGGCGATCATAGCTGTCTACAAGAGTGCATTAGCGGATGGTTGAATCGCAGACCAGTGATAAGGCAACTTACTCCTAGTACAATCGGAACGCCAAGGTAGTTCATTGCAAGCGGTCCCCATGGAAAGATATCCAGGGGTGCAAGGATCGCTCCGATTTCGGAGGTTATGGCATCAGGCTGGGCTTCACGTGGGCGTCGAAGCATTTTTGTGTGTGTTGATAGGAAGGAATCGGGTTATAGTTGGCTATTGGGTGATGCGAGAGATGAGTGTAGTAGAAGAAAGTGTGTGGGGTTGGATGATCTTCGGGCACGTGATCTGGATTGTGCCGCTCAAGTGGGTCTGGATGGGGGGCCGAAGAGTCTATGAGAACGTAAATCTAGGAGAACGAGAGCAGTATAACTGTGTTGATTATGACGGGAATAGGAGACAAATAGTAGAGAAGGAAAGGCAGAATTCTGCACAAACATGATCACATGACTCACAATTTCAGCCGCACCTATCTACCACTATCCTCTTTTTTCCTTCGAGCTATCGAAGCTCGCGGTCTAGTTCATAGTGGACGAATCCCGAAAGCTCAGACACATCAACTCCTTTCTTATTCAATTCCCATAGACTTTGTAATTCCGGTGTTGATACGGCCCGCGGGTTGGGGTGATTGTGTGAATGGACTTGAATAGTGACGACAGGGTTCGGTTCTCCCACTTGCTTACGACCTCAATCTCCTCGTAAGTCACGTTCATTGTACACTCCAATTATTCTGGAACTCATCTTAATCGATGTGCAGTTGTTGGCTGAACATAAAACAGCTGTCCCAATGGTAGCTCGCTGCGCTCACAGACTACCAGGTTCCTTTCTATCGGCTGTTTAGTTTCAATATGAATAGCCGAGAAGGTTGATCCAACTTCACAAGGTCGGGGTAGGGCTAAAAACACAAAGAAAGAGGCAGAGAGTGTCATTTAATTGCCATTTGCGTTCTCCTCTTCCTTTTCACTCACTTCCGGCATTTTGCTCTCCCCGCTGTCTTCTCCCCGCTCGTGATCTTCGGTCTCTTCCCCGTCTTCGGTTTCCTCGCGCCAGGGGTATTTCCCCTCCACAATCTTTTTCAATGGCAGGAAATTTTCATCCTTGTAAATGAGATCCCCGGCAGTTTGATAAACTCTCAGAATGTCAGAGTTTCGTTTCTCCGCGACCCTTACCATAGCGTGGATGGCATCGGTAGCAGATTCCTCCAGAGTTTTCTCGTTGGCCTCTTTTGCCGCCTCCTGAATTTCGCGGGGTCGCTTGAGTCAGAACAACCATCTCCATGGCGTGAATCCAGTCGGCGACCGCTTCCCGAGCTTCGACTCGATAAAACAGCGGCCACCCTTACCAATCGCGCTGGGACAATCATTCCACGAGACCTCCGAGAGTTGCAGGATATTGCAATCTGCCTCCCGGAGCCACGCAGTGGCAGATGGCAACAAATGCCTAATCTCCAGTGAATCCATGCTCCGGTGTGGATCCTCATCATCAGGATCACCAGGATCACCAGAACTGCGAAGCACCTGTCTCTCCTCAAATGTGCGCCGAAATAGGACGAGAGCGACCTGGCACATTCTATCCTTGCAGACGCAGGTGAACGCCAACTTGGCCAAGAAAGAAGAAAAGTTGAGGAGATGGATGCCCGAAATTGCTCCGCAGTCGTTGATCCAGAAGTCAGTCATATCACTGACTAAGAGCGGTAGGTCATTTCACAGCGTGCCTTCGGTCATCCGGGCGATGTCGATTCCGTAGACCCCCTTTCCAGGCCTGGCCAACGGTCCCTTTCCTTGAATCCGGAGGATATCGAGGACTAGACGGTCGTGTTCGGGGGTCTCATGCGACGTATATAGACCGAGCTGGTAGTACATATACCAGATATGACGAACGTAGAGTTCGAGGGAATCCACCCCATCTCCAACTTGGCAGTATCTGGAGGTGACAATCCAGGTTCGATTGAACCGGGCTGTTCCGCGCATCTATTGGGTTTCGCCCCGAGCGAGGCTTTTCCGCACATTCAGCCGATCATAAGAGATGCTATCTGACTCGCCGATGTCGGGGAAGCCTTTTGGCGAGGGGCTTAACAGGGAGTCGCGAAGACGATGCATCTTAAAGGGGTAGATAGATCGGTCTGGGTGTAGCAATGAGGATGAGAGGCGGAGTTAGGTAAGGAAGCACCTCTTTGATAGAACTAGCAGGGGTTTAAAGCTCTGTGTGGTACCAGAGGGTTCAGGGGGCGCCACTAATTTATTTTCAAGTCATCTCTAGGCAGCAGGATAGTAATCACAAGCAATAACTGGATTATTTCCTATATTCCACATTTCTAAGGCTAGCCGCACGGGTCCATGCGTTGTAGGGCCATCGTATGTTGTCGATCACCCGAGTCCCTGACTCCCTGGACCCACTCCGTAGCTTTGATACAGGTATAGTAAGTTCAATGATATTTTATTATATTGCTGAACTTCATAGGTATATGTAGGAAGATACATAAGGTATCCAACAGTCCTAGAGTTCATTGAAACGTAATGAATAGAAACCAGTGTATATCAGATTCAGCTCAGGATTAGGAAACAGTACTTTGCAAAAAGGCACTCAGAATGCACGAAGGCGTATAACTTGAAAATGAGATCAGATGTGGGCTGTAAAAAGGCACTAATAGGGTCTATTGAGTGGAAGGATTCATACGTCACTAAGCATGAAGCTAGTCGAGACTGCTGTTCAATTCTGGCTGCATTCAGTCATTTCCAACCAAAGGAATTCGGTGTTTTTGTCAGTATTTCTGTCTTTATTGCGGAGTACGGAGTATAAATACAACAATTGAGGACAACTGGGGTTATCTACAGGTATGGGAATTGAATCAAGCAATATCTGCTATTCTACGGAGAGATCTGACGGCTTTTGAATTCATTTTCTACTACTTCAATACTGTTGGGCACTACTCTAGGCGTATCTAGTCGGCTGAGTAGTGTGCCTGAGGAACCCGACTGGCGGCCTGAGGTCATTACAGTAAATACGATCAACGTGCATGCAATCTAGTCTCGCGTGTACTATTAAGTTCAGTTCGAAATCGTACATATATAGTACTGAAACTAAAATGGGGGCCTCAATCACAAAAAAATCACATTTCATCACAGCATGAAAAGGGCAGCAGCGAATGCCGCACCACCGAGCACAAGCCCTTCACCGGTAACAAGTGGCATAGCCGCGTTCGAGGTCGAAGTCGTAGTCGAAGTGGAAGTCGGAGTTGAAGTAGAAGCCGAACCTGAAGTCGCAGTCGAAGTCGCAGTCGGAATCGAGGTCGAAGTCTGCGATCCTGCACCAGAGCTAGCACCAGAAGCCGTAGTGCTCGTTGAGGTTACCTCGCTCGTTGAATCATTGGTAGTAGTAGCCTCAGCCTTGCTCGCCGCCGACGAGACCTGGGCCGAGTAGTCGGTAGCCGTGAAGCGGACCTCCGCCACGCAAGAATTTTCTACCGTGGACCAGTTGGTGTCGCTGGTCGTGGTGGCCGTCTCGTAGAGCAAGGCTGTGTTGGTGAGTGCTTCTTTGTAAGCTCTCATGTCAGTGACGCAGCAGTATGCGCCTTGCTCGTCGACGACCATGGTGCCTGAGCAGCATCTTGTGACGGTCCAGGTGTTTAGGAGCCAGCCTGCTGGGCAGGTGGTTTCGGCGGTTGAAGCGACTGACAGGGTCGCCGCCAGAAGAAGGGTCTTGAGGAATGTCATTTTGGTACGGAGTATGGAGTGATGGGTTTGAAATTTTTGTGAAGAATGTGGAGGTGTGGAGAGTGAGGGAATGACTGGGTTTTAATTGAAAGGAGGAAGATTTAAGATTACTCTGATACTAGCTCATACGATCTTTAGCACCCGGTCCCCATGTCAGCCCCCTGAGGATGCACTTGATGTCTCAGCCCCGAAAGTGTTTTATAGGTTAACATGTCGAGCTAAGCCACAACTAGAGTAAAAGGGGAAGCTCCTTCGACCAATCAAATATAATCGGGGCTAACTACATGTATTAGTCACTTCGGATCCACTTTGAGAACCCCGACATCGAACCCGAAGGTTCGTTTCGACCGCGTGCGCATCTCAGTCGCGATCAAGCATTGGTAGTGGAATCACTGGAGAACTCTTTCCCCATAGGGAATTTACGACTCATTTTAAATCGATGCTTATCTAAGGTACACAAAGTACTCATTATTTCCACTTCCACCTTTCCCCCAGGTACTGAACTAGCGTGACTAAATGACAAGGAGTTGCCTGCTAGAGCACTAGTCATAGCCATCTTTTCATTGGAAGATGCATACGGGGAGGGGGTGAAGCGGCCAATCGCGACTTTGAAATGATTGGCGATCTCTGCTAGTAGAAATTTAGTAATCCACTCTTGCCTTAACTACTACTTGAGATGGCAGTGGGTACCTCGCTTCGTTCTCTAGCGTCGGCAATTCAGGTGTTACTCAAAAAGGCAACGGTGTTTTACTATTTGCTGTGAGGCTAGGAGAAGAGCGAGTAATACAATGAACTATATTCTGCTAGCTAAGTGTGTATAGGGGAGAAGAAGGAGAGAAAGGAAGATATGAGTCCTGACAGTCAGAATCAGGTGACGTGGTCCGGGTATTTAACCTTAAACTGCTATCATCGGCCCGAATGCAAGTTTTCAGCATATCTCGGCAGTGGTGTCGCGAAGGAAATGCCGGACCGATACGCTCACCCTCAAGATTCCGGCGAGATATGTAACCAGCTTTTGGAATGAGCACAGGAACATACTCATTATTACATTTTGATAATAGTGAAAACAACGGAAACTGAAAACTTCGATAAGGAATCGAAGGCTCTTTCCACAGTCTCTCGGTCGACCTATTCCGAGACGTCGCCTTTATCAAGTGTATGTTCTACCTGCAAACTTCTACTCGCACACGGTCTCCCTCCTCCTCACATCTGCCTAGCTTAATCATGGTTCCTTCTCTTTTCGTTCGCCGTTATAGCTCTAAGCTACTTGAGTCTCGAGATCCGATGCTGGTCATTCCAGGTCATCAGTGGGCAGATTGCTCTTAAGTCTCCCCTTCACTTCTCTTTTACTTTTCTTTCACATTTCATTCAATTTTTTACTTCTCTTTCACAGTTACCTGGTCTCTCACTTTTCAATCCTATATTTCATCATTATACCCTCCCTAACTTCGAATGTTGCCTCATATCCCACTCAACAACAACAATGATCGGTCAAAGAACCAGCGTATCCTGCTCTCTATTCGTCTCCGTCTATCAAACTTCTCCTCTGGTGTTCGGCATGGGGGGGGGGGGGGGGGGGGGGGGGGGGGGGGGGGCGGGGGGGGGGGGGGGGGGGGGGGGGGGCGGGGGGGGGGGGGGGGGGGTGGTGGGGGGGGGGGGGGAGGGGGGGGGGGGGGGGGGGGGGGGGGGCGGGG